TTTGTTTGCTCGTCCTTGCAATTCCTACAAGCCAATTTCTGCTCCCTTGGTAAGTTACTTTATGGCTGTTACCTGGTCAAACAATAAAAGATTCCTAGCTCTTTTAGTAAGTAGAATATTTGGAGAGTAACAAAATACACCATCTCTATATAGTTCATGATGTTGGACAGTGTGGGATCCTAATTATACTGTTCACCTGTAACCTTGACGGCAATTTTTGTTTTTATTTTTTAATTATATGGACATATTGGCATTCATATCGTATTATGTTTGCCTTAATTGCCTCCTGTACGTGAAGGAACTTACAGGCTGTTCTTTTATATAAAGATATAGAAGAGGGGACAGAGAACTATATTGTGAACTTCTCATTTTTAGTGAAAACTAGCAGGAGCGAAGGGACGTAGCTCTCATATTGAGAGTGAAGTGTCTGCTTTGCATTTTTCTGATTTTTGGGATGTAGAATAGAACCGATATAAATCTGTGTTTGCTTTGCATTTTTCTGATTTTTGCTATCTGACGATCGCTATCAAAATTAGAGAGTTGAACTTAATCCAGAATATTAAAGCGATGACCTCACCTCATCAGTAGAAGCGCCAAAATGAGCCACAAGGATGTAACTTGAATTGTCAGATATACCATCTTTTCAAAGATTCTGATATCTGGTACACCAGCAGCAACACCATAGAAAATTTATATATCAAAACCATGATGAGCTAAGGAAAACGCTTCTTACATGTTTCGAGCCCAAGTAATTGTAAACAAGCTCAGAATGGAGAGTCCTTGTTATTGCCTCTCGTGATTTGGATATGGGTGTCTTATGTGAAGCGGCAAGCACAGGGAAAACGTCGGGTATCTGTTTCGATTTTGTCATGATGAATATTAGACCCAACAAAACAAAAGACCTAACTCCAAAAAATTAAGAGGAAGAGAAAGATGTCGAATTGTACACTTTGCAGAAGAATAGAGCTTAAAAGTAAAGCATTCAGCAATGCAATTTCTGGTTCCAGTGTTCCTGTTGCATCAAATCCAGCAGTTCTCTGCATCAGAAAATATTGGGGCTACAAATTTCATTATTTCAATAAAGATTTCCAGGAAGCTACATTATGATAGGATGTGGCTAAAGCCCTTACAAGTATCCAAATTTACTATTAATCTTAACACTTGATGCAGATGCAGAAAAACTCGTCAGTTTCTTCTCAAAACTTCTCAACATAAACTGTTCTCCACCCTCCTTCCCCAGTGGAATATAGCATTGAGCAAACATCATGCAAGCTCGAAACCAGCACAATGGAATATACACACAAGATTTGTTGGAAACAGTTTCTCGTGCATGTAGTTTTTAATGAAACTAATGAAAATAATCACTTCCCTCCTTTTTCAAAGTTCAATGCAAAGATACAAAGTTGTATTCAAATGGAGAGCACAATATTCACAGTTTTCATTTTCGGTAAAAATTTCTGTGACAGTTGACTGTGTAATCAATCTGATCATATGCTACAGAAAAAAGCATATCATCCCAGGCATATCACCTATAAACACAAAATCAAGAAATTTGCAAACAAATGATACATGAAAAATTCTTAAATGAGAATTAGGAAACAAGTCGGAGCCATCTAGAATTTCCATAACCAACCAAAATCAGAGCGATCTTTTTTAATATTCACAACGGATACACCTCTTCCAGCGAGGCTCTAAAATATGGCCACGTGGCAGCCAATCAATAAGCGAAACCAGGCCCACACTCCACGTCACAAAACCCACGTGGCAAAATCTGTCGAACCCTCGTGAACAAGGCGATGCGAGGAGCTCAAGGATCTTTCGTACAAGATCTCCATGATTGGATGATGTGACCACTCGCAACCAGTCTATTAAAGGGGTTCCTTAATTAATATTATGATAGATTTTAAAAATCTTTCCAAAGTTAGGTGTCTATCAATTGAGATTTTATTAAAATTTAGGTATTCACAATTGAGATTTTAACGAAATTCAATGAAATTTTTTAAAATTTAGGTATCTTCAATAACTAGTAAATTTATAAGAATTTCATTAATAGACGGACTTTAAAAAATTTGGATGGATTTCAAGCTTAAAAATACATATTACCAAATCTTTTGAAATTTCACCATATTTGATAAGATTATTATGAAACTTGTGAAAATCGATTCAAATCCATGAAATTCATCAAGATTCATAATCTTTTAAAATTCATCAAAATCTTAGTTGAGAACACTTTCATAAGTCAAAATGTCAAGTATAATCCTTACAAGCTAGGCATAGTTTTGCAAATGGTTAGAACATTAAATGCACGTGAGCCTAGGATTGATAGAATGACACGGCGCCTTGACCTTCAGGATGAGGCCACGTGTCTCTTCATTTAATGGCGGTAATTTCTCCTCTATTACTTTAAAAGCTCACGCTTAGTGTCATTTGAAGGTAATGCAATCTTATACATTCAACTATAAAGTTGCTCTATCTCTCTCTCTCTCTCTCAGATCCAAATGCCTTTTTATAGTGACTCGCATATTTAGAATGTCCCACACCCAAATATTCACTCACAAATAGATTGACTTAACCATTAAAGTGCTCTTGACCTCTCCCACAACCAGAGAAAGCTGTGTGCTCTAACTATTTGTCCAAATGCACAGGAAGAGGCTACGCCTACGCAGATATGAGAGGAATTGGGATTTGCTGGACACGTCGTCCCTACAAAAAACCGAAGTCAACAGAAACTAAAGAACGCTTTGTTGATATTAATTCCTCGCTTCAACTGAAATGCCTTATATACTTGGAACTCAACCAAAAAACAGAAACTACATTCAAGACAGGACTAGCCTGTCTTTATGTCCAAAAAATTCAATTGCTCCTCAATCCTAAGGTACAATATCACGAGGATGATTTTTATAGAATTCCTAGAACCAAACACGTAGAACATTTTCAAAAGCACAAACCTTTTCCCCCTGTACGCCCAGCACTGCCCATTAATAAATCACTGCAAACAGCTGTACATTTCTTAAGAACCACAATTCACGCAGTAATTATTAAAAATAATAATAATAATAACGAACGTCGCGTATGTAATATAGAGTGTATAGAAATTTAGAAAGAAGAAGAGGGCGTACTTAGTATTGGTGACGTCAGTGAAGAGAGCAAGAGAGAGAGTAGTGCCACCGACCTCGAACGCCTTCATGGCTGCTGGAAGAGCTCAAAATTGAACAAAAAAGAATACGAAAATTAAATTTTTATCTATAGTAATAAAGTGTAAACAGTTTTAGGGTTTTAATGGCCGATAAAATGGGAGCTAGGTTTTACTGTCGTCCACTCTTGCCAGAGGATAATTGTTCGGACGACACTTGATATCACCGGAATTTTGCTACATCTGGTCTCGTTGGTTGCCACGTGGAGCTTTTTCCGAGTTTAACGGCTGTAAAATTTAAAATGTAAAAACGCGCCAGGTAGGGGTCGAACCTACGACTTTCTGCTTAGGAAACAGACGCTCTATCCACTGAGCTACAGGCGCATTTGTACGTGTACAATGTAAATATATATCATGTTAAATATTAATATGGAATATTGTGAATACGTTGTTGAAATTTGATGGAATCTATAAAATATTTATAAGTTTAATTTCTAAACGAAGGATAAGGTGTTGGTGTACTCAGGGTTTAGTGACTTTGTTGGCATATCCAATATGCTTTTAATCACGACCAAGTTGTCGAAAGTTCTAATTTTTAGAAATTTGAATTCCTCTACTGGCTATGATTAAACTCGTGAATTTTGGTTTTTCAAGCTCTTTTGTTAGGCATGAAGCATTTTCAAAATGCGACGCATATGGGAAAGGCATGAAAAAAGGCGACCAACTCCTCTTTTGACCTTAACGCGTTCCATGCGAACTTAGGCGCTAAAAAGTGCCTTTAATTTTACATTTTAGCTTTTATTTAATTTTTTTGGAGCCATTTTTTGGACCTGGCTATTGTGTGCCTAAGCACTGTATTAGTGTAAACGGTTTCTTGGATCATTTATCTCAAAATGGTTTTGTGCTTTCAATTTTTAACATGGTTCAGTTCAACGATGAATGAGAGTATTCTGTTTTGGGTATTTTTCCTCCAAATGCATTGGTAAGGTGCCATATGCTAGCATCTTATTTTTTGAGGGTAATGTTCGATGAAGAGGTTAGAAAACGTTTCAAGATACTCATTGTACTGAGCTCAAATGTGCAAAAGTTATATATCAAAGTATAAGTTCTTTATTTTTCTCCTGTAAACTTGTTTCTCAAAACTTGTTCCTAGGAATAAAGACCTGTCCAAAAAAGGTGTTGGTTGAAGACTATGAATTTCAATTTGTTTGGAAGAAAGTACTTATCTCGAGGCGGAATCGAGCAAATGCGTTGTGACCTTTCCATAAAGAAAAGAATGAGAATTTATTCTACGTATGTTACCTCTTCTTTATTCCTTAAATCACATTATCATAGTTTATTTGTCAACCTTTATGCTATCTTGATTTATATTCGTCTACAAGTTGTACGTTGTCCTACGCTACGTAATATTTCCCCAAAAAATAAAATCAAGGCGAAAGATACCGAATCAGTCTTGTATGCATGCATCCCAATATCCTATACCTTATTAATTCAGAAGAATATACAACATGATTATGTTACTATTTTGTTGCTTAGGATGAAGAAAAATTACCTCGTTCTTAACTATGTACAGTAACAGTCCACAGAATCAAGTAAATGCAATAATGTAACTTGTGCATAGAACCCAACATAAGAATATATTCTTATCTTTTCAATTCTCAAACCAATTTTTGCACTTTATGCTTTATTCCTTGCTCATTGACATAAGATATAAGGGAATAAAATAAAAAAATATTCTATGTTATCCTCCTCCTTCCTAATTTTGACAAGATTCTCGTTATCTTGTATATATTTTCAGCTGGGAATTGTTTGAACTTTGAAACCAACCCCAGTTTGAAGAAGTTTTTGCCCTAGAGATAGCAAAAAAGATGTCGAACTTGAGTTTTCTTGATATGCAACACTACCTCTCAAAGAAGAAATTCTTGCAGAAACCCTCACGAATGTTTTCTAGAGAGAGACAAAACTCGGGTTTATTGCCCATTCACTCGCCAACTTCAGAAGAGATGAAGCAAGTGTTCAACAAATTTGATACCAACAAAGATGGAAAGATTTCGCAGGAGGAATACAAGGCAATACTTAAAGCCATTGGGAACGGAAACCTCCTTACCAAAGAAGTACAGAAGATATTCGAGGTTGCAGATTTAGATGGCGATGGATTCATTGATTTCAACGAATTCGAGGAAGCGCAGAAGAAGGGAGGTGGAGTGAAGACAGTGGATTTGCAGAGTGCATTTCGTACATTTGACAAGGATGGAGACGGGAAAATAACCGTCGAAGAAATCTACGAGTTACTGCGTAAGCTCGGGGAAAAGTGTAGCCTAAGAGATTGCAGGAGGATGGTGAAAGCTGTGGATACTAATGGAGACGGAGTCATTGATTCAGATGAGTTTATGACCATGATGAATCATACTATGGACATTCATTAACGGATGCTAATCTGGTGTCGAGTTAGAAATTCTAACAAAGTAATATTAGTTCTTCATTCATGTGTGGTGTGTTTTTGCCGTGTATTGTTGCAGCTACTGGAAGTTAGTGTTATCAGAGTTGTAGAACTAACTCCTTATGCATAATCAATAAGACAAGATCAAGTTGTAATAAATTTACATTAAAAATGGCTTGCTTGGATGAGTTGGCTTGCGAGCAGCTCACGTTTCAGCAATTTTCAGCCAAAAAAAAAAAAGTTTGACCCCGAGCTGGCTCAATTCACCCCAGGCAAACTTCCTTGAACCGAGCCGACTCGTGTGGTAGCTGAGCCAACCCTGACCATAGACTAGATGAGCTGCTCGACTCGATCCATTTAACACCTTAATCTTAACCACATCAACACAGACGAATGTTAAAGGTAGAACCAGAAATTCATTATGGAAGAATTATCCATTCAACAAGAATTCTTCTGCCACGCAATCGGAACACACGATCTTTCATGAAGCTATTTTTTAATCTTAATAAATTTACATTAAAAATGGCTTGCTTGGATGAGTTGGCTTGCGAGCAGCTCACGTTTCAGCAATTTTCAGCCAAAAAAAATAAAAAAAAATGAGCCCGAGCTGGCTCAACTCACCCCAGGCAAACTTCCTTGAACCGAGCCGACTCGTGTGGTAGCTGAGCTAACCCTGACCATAGACTAGATGAGCTGCTCGACTCGATCCCTTTAACACCTTAATCTTCACCACATCAACACAGACGGATGTTAAAGGTAGAACCAGAAATTCATTATGGAGGAATTATCCCTTCAATAAGAATTCTTCTGCCACGCAATCAGAACACACGATCTTTCATGAAGCTATCTTTTAATCAACTCGAACCATCCAACATGAAATTCACTGCATAAGTTCCCGAGCATGGTTCCAAACGGGAAGTTGTGAAACAAATAACAAAAATCTTAATTGGTAATAGGCTCAAATATACATATACCCAGCAACAAAGTCGGTTTAAAACACGCCAAACAAAGGTTCCTAAAAAAAATTAGTACTAAAACTGAAATATATTATACAAAATCATCAGTTAAGAATGTGATCCTTGACTAAGATTATACAATGGTGAATCATTTCAAACAAACTTATAAAGCATAATTTTTTTTAGGGGGGATCAAAACTATGGTACACATATTACAACAGAAGAAGGCTAAATATGTCGATAAAACAACAGTATTTACAAGGTAGAATTTTGTGCGCTAAAACCTAAAATCCTAACTGCGTATTTACATCACTTTCAGATTTGTCCTCTGATGAAAAAAATATTGGTAACCGGCTTCCTATATGCACATTATCTACACCTGCAAACACGCAAATATATAAATAAATTAGCTCAAAAGAAATGCAAACCCACAATGCTCGGTTTTAACAGGGATTTCCAATAGATTTCAACGATGAGTTACTGAATCTAAAATATGGGCAAAAGAGAGATGGTTTGATGAATTTTCTATTCACTTGATCAGACTTGGACGCGCTCATTTATCTTCCTGCTGCATTCTTTACTTGACTCGTCTTAGTATGTAATGTTTGTTATGTACATATCAAGTTAGATTTTACTGAACAGCAAAAATATGAGTAAGATTGTGCATATTATAAAGTATCAGCTACCTGAATGAAATGCAGGTCATGATACAAAGAGTAGTCACCATAACATCCCAATAGAGGGGTTCAAAATTATTTATTCTCCTCAGCAACTATGGGACATTAGATTGACTCTGATGGGACTGAATGCTTGCTTTTCCATCAATATGATACTTACAAGCAGTCAAAAGAAAAATAATAGCATAAATAAACAGCCATCAACCATAACATGTGATCATATGTCAGAGTAAATTTACTGACTTGGTTCACATCTATTGTTTGAATTCTTCGGAGACAGGCTTCTCCCCAAGTGTTTCTCCAAAGATTCTCTCTTACGCTCAGGGTCAAGGCTGCACATACAAAGAATTACCATAAAAAGAGGGAAAGGGGGGGGGGGGGGGGGGGGGGGGGGGGGTTTAAAACCTGTTCCTGAAGCCAAGAAAAGCACAATGCGCTGCACGTACAACAGCAGATGCGGGAGCTATAGCTGCTACAGGAGCACCCTGGACGGCAGTTACCAAAGCAGATCCTACACCAGCACCACGCTGATATTTTTTCAAGGGAGTTTGTACTAAAGCAGAGGCTGATTTGCCAAGTCCATCGCCTATGCTTTCAAAAGCCTGTATATTTACAAGCATTTGAAGGATGCAATTAGAAATGTTCGCTCACGTCCAACAAGGAAATACAGGAAAACACTATGTTTTTGTATTTCTCATTTTTTTTCCTCAGAAACCAATGATAAAGACAATCTTCCACAACACCAACCAAAAATGAATGTCAACCACCATCATCCCAGATGGCAATATAATAAAAGGTAAAGAGAAAAAATAACTTTTTACACAGATATAATATTCCATCAATTCAGTTCCTCTAGCATTGGATTGTGGGCATCATTTCAACTCTGACTTGTGAGAATATTTCATGTGAAAAGGTGAGTAGTGAAGTAACCAAAAAAAAAATTAATGATGAAGATTTATATCCCAAATGAAATTGCTTTTAAATTATAGTTAGATGCCCAAATTGAATTTTTCTATATTACTTTTAAAGTATAGTTGGATGACCAAATTGAACTTTTCTAATTGTTGAAGGATGAAATTGCTTTTAAATTATAGTTGGATGACCAAATTGAATTTTTCTGATTGTTAGAACGAAATTGATTTTAAATTATAGTTGGATGACAAAGTTTAATTTTTCTAATAATTGAATGATGAAACTGCCATTATTTTCCTAAATATTTGAAAAATTGGAAATTAAAAACTTTACAGAGTGAAAAGCGACTATGTAAAACTGAGTCTAAAGAGATGCAATATTAACCTGCTGAATTCCTTGTCGAGCATCATTGGGCTGATTTGATCTCACATTGGTAGTCATCCTGTTTTCAACAGGCCATGGTACCGAAGGTGGACTGCTTGTGAGAATATACTCAGCCTGGAGGAGGACATCATGAGCTCCTGCCGCCAGATGAACTCCTAGCCCAATTGCTTCAAGTGAAATACTTCTAAGAAAAGCTATTGTACCTGAAACAACAGCTTAAAATAAGTCTTCCACCAAAAAGAGTGGTATTCAGTTTTAAAATTGTACATGAGGGACTTCAAAAAAATTGTATATTGGGGTAATTATACGAGGTGAAAAAGTGACAAAAGGTTGTATTGTGTAACAGTCATCCCACGAGTGCATAAGCCTTGTTAAATATGAGCAGTTATTAATTCATATATCAGGCATAAGTCGAAGCCCTTTTCTGTCCTATTTGACCATGAGAAATCAGAATAATGCTTCTAATATACATGCAGAAACTGAGTATCCTACTTTCTTCTTTTTCTAATTTCTATTGGCGATACAGGTTTTACAAAATGAGAGTAGGGAATATACACATGATTATCAAAATAAGCAAGAAAACCAATGTAACTCAAACATCATGTGCGCAGATAATTTATCGAGCGTGTTAATTCACCAAACTGAGATTAATCACAAAGGATCCAGAACTAAAATTGAACTCTCATCATTAAATTTAACAACCGACGACCTTTACTTGTGAGGAACATTTCGCAACAATTGATCATTATTTAAAGAATCATAAACATCAGATACTGTACATGCATTTTTCTAGAATGAATTTGTTAATGCAAAGCTGAGACAAACTTCTTCAAGAAATAATTTTTTCCTAGATACCAAAGATGAGTACGTGTTTAAATTCATCTTTGCACTTCATCAAAGTCAAGTATCTTTTCTTTCTGATAATTGCACATAGTAACATAACTCTGTGACACATCTAAACCACATGGAAAGGGAAGTAGAGCTGAAGTCTTGCCTCTTTAACATGAAACTCGCATTATTATCAACAAATTCAAAAATGTCATTTTTGACAACTGACCTCTTTGCATTCCTTTCAGTAATCTACGATCCTTCCTGTAGCTCTTCACAGGTGCAGCCACCAACTTTGCAGCACCCGAGCCAACAGCAACCAATGACCGAATAGGAGGAAGGCCTTTTAACAGTTTATGAACCTGCAGAATCCGTGACTAGTTAATACCCATGATTTCATAAATGACATTATTCCTGTGCCAGAAATATTTTATCAGATATATCAAAACCTGGTTTTGAGAAATATCTTCCAACCAATCCCCAACTATTGTTTCACAAACACTGCCCCAGCCATAAACGCCAACTGCCTGGACATGTTTCAGTTGTAGCTCGATCCCCTGTATTAGATGTCAATAGCAAATGGAGCTTAACATTTGAAAATTCAAATCTCAAAAATGAGAAGAAAATTTCTCAGGCTTGCATTTTCAGTTTCATTATCAAATAAAAGTTCTCAGTATCTTTCTTGCCATAGTAATGCAGCGAGTTCAATGAAATAATGCTAGGTAAGATTGTAATGGTTGAAACTATATCTGAGAAGGTATTGGAGACCAAACTATTCCAATGCATTATACACAGAATTTTATTGATACAAAGGATGGATCAAAAAAATGTAACAATTACTTTGCAAGGGCTGGCAATTCTAACGTTTTAGCAACATGCCCATTCTAGATTGATTTGTGGGTTTTTAGATTACATTTATGATAAAAGAGAGTCGGGAAGGGATGGGATTTTTACATATAACAAGGATCAAGGAATTAACATAATAATTGATAGTCAGAAATTAATATGAATGAAGAGGTTCAGGAGAAAATGATCAAGTGAGTATTTCCCACAACTCTTACAGATCTGCATTTAAAGAGACTCAAATTTCTATTTGAACCAGAGAATTCATCCACAAATTCACTAAGGGTGCATTGATTGCCAATATTTTCCATGGAAAACGTGTTTTTTCCAACTAAGTTCCTACTTTTGTGATGTTTGATTGCCATTTTTTCTATGGATAATATTTTTCTACTTTTGGTCACGTTGACAATATTTTCCTCAAAATTAAGAAAAATATTTTCTTTAGGGGGAATAGGATTTTATTTTCTAGAGAGTGACTTTTATTTGTCTCTCTTATCTACCTACCAATAAAAAATTGGCAAGTATAATATTTTTTAGATTGAAAATTAAATCAATCAAACACATTTAATTGACAATTTCCATTCAAATAAATTTTAGGCAATTGAATTATCTAAAATTTATTTTCTTTCCATGCAAATTCCATGCTTGCAATCAAGCGCACCGTACAAAATTTAATTAGATAAATCCCGCTTATCCTACTTAATTTGCCATGAGAAATTTGGTGAAAATTTAGTGGGAATAGTAACAGAAAGGCATTGCCCATAGTATGCAAGGCATAATCTATTGGCAAGTCAGAAAAGTCCACATGGGTAATATAGCCATCCAAGCGCAAAAATGTGTTAACAGAACATGAGGTGAACACAGAAAAGATGCAGATCAGGAATAGTTTGCATAAATTTCATTAGATGCAATTTCTTGCCAGATTCGTTTCCTTTTTCTTTTTGAAGTTTCTTTTCATAGTAATATATTTCATTTTTTTCTTCTTCATGGTATGCATGTGCTGGAGAAGGGGCTTTACAAAGAAAGGGGAGCCTGCGAATCAGCAGTTTGCTAAAAATTCCTTTTTAACGTGGACTGACCACATGGCTGTTGCCATTGGCCCATAACTAATTAGACGCAACCGTTCATAATCAGCTATGTTGTTTGTGCATCAAAAATTAAGAAATCAGGCATTATCAGATTGCACATATGAACCAGAAACATACCTTCCAAGGTACTAGGTTAACAAGTTCCACATACTTCCCACCCCTTAATGCAGCCAAGTCGACATGGTGTGGACAGTAATCAACTCGAATGAGGACGGGCTGAATATCAAATTTCTGCAGAAAAGAAATACCAGTAAAGGATATTGATTTTGTAAGCGATGATCCTAATGTGCACAGATCTAATCCAGGGGCAAAGGATGAAAAAAATATTATAAGCAACAGCATCAAGATCAGGGCACAAATAATACAGAACGGACCAGTTCTGATTAAAATAACACTCTGTCCACTTGAAAAGATAACCATGGGCATAAGTGCCCAACCATCATCCACTAAAGATTAAGGTTAATATAGTGTTCCAATAGAAATTATTTCATACAACCTACCTGAAAATAAGTAAGAAATGCCTCATCACTGATGGGATTGCTTCCTAGAATTGCACTCTTCTTTGTTGACTTTCCTCTTTCACTTGGTCCTGGAGAAGTAGCACTCTGGGATAAATCAGCTTGTGAGCTTTTTCCCCCAAAGAAGCTAATGAGAAAATCAAGCTGATTCTGATGCAGATGCAGACGCAAAGGAAGTAGAGCAATGCTTAACCTGGAGAAGGAAACATAATAATAAGAAGAAAAGAACCATACAAGTCATTGTCGGATTTAAGAATTAACAGGACATTCAATTTCCAGTGCATAAATGATGAGAAATTTTGAAGAAAGGATGTGCATTCTTCATCCAAATATCCAGAATTCAGGTGAATATAATTTGAAAAATGAACAGATACAATTAAGACATGTACATACAAGAAGGGAAATACTATCAAGGGCCTATATGACCCATGACCTCCCTAATATCCAAACTCAAAACCCAAACCCATGACCAGCAAACCACCGCCGATCCAACTACGACCATTATTTTCACCGACGACTGCAACGCGTCGCACGGCAACCCTAACTCTTCCGGCCTCTCGCCACACATACAGCCACACCTTTAGGCGGCCCTAGGTGGAAATCCTAGCACCGCCACTCAAGATGATGCTGGAACCGGAGATGCAACCACTTGGGATGAAGTAGCGCCACTGGTCGACAGCAAAACTGGTGAAGTATTCGAAATGTTGACATGCAGATGGATCGATCCGGGATGCAAACCTAGATCACGCAAAATCTAGCCACCACTCAGGCAGACACGCCTAATCGGAGGGCAGTGCAGGTTGGGGAGGAGCACGCGCCATTGGGGAGGAGCACGCGCCGCTAAAGCAGTGCGACGGTTTCGAGTGGAGGCAAAAGAGTTTCAAGTTTCTGTTAACAATCTCGGCACTGTTAAGATAACAGAGTGGGGCTGGAGGATATCGAATGCAATATGTATGGAAATGTTTGGCGCACTCTGGATGGTGAATATGGTGGATATGTTGAGGGTAGCTAGTAGGTTGGATGACTGTCTCAAAGTTTAATGAGTCATCAAGAGCTTTTTGGCACAACATTGCGTGAACAGACGTTGTAGATACTTGATTATAGCACAGTATGGGGATAGGCGTCGGAAGGGAGTGGTGATGGTGCCGGAAGGTGCGAATGGTGAAGGATGGGCTTCGATTTCACGAGTGTTTCAAGCTATAGTTGACTCATTTGTAATTGGAGACAAGGCCAAACGTCAAACGATGAATGCTGGACGCCAACAAGGGATGACATATGCTGAAGTTGCGACAAACGTACATGCCATGCAGAATGTTGATCGAAGGGTGCTAATGCGAAAAGAAAAAGTAGCTACTAATGAAGGCATTTGTATGACGCATAAACCTAAGGAAACACATGTAGAAGGATCATATGACAGTGTATTGAATTGTGATGAAATAAGGGCCCGTGTCCACGTGTTGAAAGAGGAATTGGATGAATTATCTAGGCTTGTGGGATGTGGATCTGTAGCGAAATCCAAGATTCTTTTTTGTCATAAGTGTGGGGTGGGCGTGGAAGCAAAAAGCTTGTCTCCTAAGGAGCTATCACCAAATGTAGACCCCACCAAAGATAAAGGGGATAATGACTCAGGGGTCGAAGCAAATCGGGAGATGGGACCTTGGTCTAACGCAGAAGAGCTGAATATGATGAATTTGGAGTCGAAGACACTGGGTATGATGGACATGACGCCGGCTGACGGATTATTATCAGCTGCGAAAGAGACGGGGCATACATTAGTCGACGGTTCAGCTTTGACTGAACTAAAAGAGCACGAGGCGACATGTTCTAACACCTTGGTTCAGAAGACATAATAGAAGGCACTCGAAACCCCTAAAAGAAAAGGAATTAGGGACTGACAAAGATCTAGTGTTGTGGGCAGATGGCACCAAGAAAAGAGGAACAAACAGTGATACCAAGCAGGTGGAGAAAGTAGAGGGATTCCCATATGATCTCTTAGAGTATTGTCATGAAGAGGAAATAACGGAAGTGCATGCAATTGAAGGTCCCCCACCTTCAAATTGGGTTTTTCAAAAAATTCAGAATTTCAGTAAGTTAGTTGGTGTGTCCTGCGATGGATATGAAAGTAGACTGTTACAATTATTCGAGGAGTTGAAGGCCAATAGGGGACAAGGGATGAGTATACCAGGTGGTAAAACAAGAAGAAAAGGAGATCGTGAACTTAAGCGACTTGAATAGTCAGTAAATTATGGGGTAAGGGTGTCAAGTCAAAGAAAGGATTGCTTGGGAGGGATGACAGAGCGTTAAGATAATACCAAAAATAATTAATTGGAACATAAGGGGGCTTAATGTAGCGGATAAAAGATTACGGTTCGAAATCTGCTAAGGGGATGGAGGGCGGACTTAGTCTGTTTACAAAAAACTAAGTTGGATTTCGTCTCGAGGGCTATTGAGAGCAATTTATGGGGAGGACAGCATGTTGGATATCAATATAAGGGATCATCAAGGGCCTCAGAAGGTGTGTTAGTCATATGGGACACGAGAATTCTTAATATGGAGGAGGTTAGTGAAGGACTATTTTCTTTATCGCTTTCGTTTAAAAATATTGGCGATGAATTTTGTTGGATGTTCATAGGAGTTTATGGGCCTAATGATGATGAGAGTAGAGGTGGATTGTGGGATGAGTTGGCAGGGATGATTTTGTCCGATCAGCTTAGCAAACGGGGTGTACAAAATTATTGCAAAGGTACTGGCTAATAGATTAAAGGAGGTGTTGGAAAAAGTGGTGTCTAAATTTCAAAATGCCTTCGTCAAAGAGCGCCAAATATTGGATTCCGTACTTATAGCAAATGAATGTATTGACTCCAGACTGCGTATAGGGATTCCGGGAATGTTATGTAAACTTGATATTCAGAAGGCCTATGATCACGGGAACTGGGGATTCCTTTTGTATATGCTCAGGCGATGTGGCTTCGAGGACAAGTGGCGCCATTGGATTCAGTTTTGTATATCTACGGTCTCCTATTCGATTTTGGTAAACGACACTCTTGAGGGTTATTTCCGGAGTAGTAGAGGTTTGAGGCAAGGGGTTCTGTTGTCTCCATTATTGTTTATCATTGTTATGGAGGCTTTAGGTAGGATGCTTGAGAAAGCTATGAGAGAACGTCTGTTGAGAAGCTTTTTTGATTAACCAGTTACAAGTATCCCATTTGCTATTTGCAGACGATACATTGATCTTCTGTGATGCAGAGGTTGAGCAATTCAAGAACTTGCGTCTATTACTATGCTTTAAAGCTGTATCTGGATTGAAAATTAATTTGGGGAAATATGAGGCCATCATAGTTGGGGATGTCACTAATGTGGAGGAGTTGGCGACCATATTGGGTTGCAGGACTGCGCAACTGTCTATGTCCTATCTTGGGCTCCCCTTAGGAGCATGGTTTAAAAACACACACATTTGGAATAGTATTGTGGAAAGGGTGGAAAGGAGGTTAGCGGGTTGGAAGCGTATGTACCTCTCAAAGGAAGGCCGTCCTACAGTCATCAAATCCACTCTATCGAATCTCCCCACTTACTTCTTGTTATTGTTTCCCATTCCCGTTTCAGTGGCAAAAAGATTAGAGACTAGAGAAAACTTCACTTGGTTAACTGGGGCGTAGTGTGTTCTCCCATAAAAACGGGGGACCTTGGAATGAGGAGTCTTGTATTGTTTAATAAGGCCTCCCTATGTAAGTGGTTGTGGCGATTTGGTGTGAAGAGGGAGAGCTTTTGGAGGAAATTATAGAGCGAAATATGGTGTTCTAGAGGGGGGATGGTGCTCAACCAAGGATCGTGATTCTTATGGGGTGAGTTTGTAGAGGTATATACGACGAGGGTGGAGAGAATTTCAGGAAATATTGACGTATGGGGTGGGGAATGACAATACTACCAAATTCTGGAAAGATTGTTAGTGTAGAGATCGGCCATTAAGAGCGGAGCATCCTTCCCTGCATCGTATTACTTTAATGCTGCAGGCTATGGTGAATGAAGTCTTACATGTGCATAATGGGAATCCCAGCTAGAACATCGCTTTCAGAAGGGGTCTACAGGACTGGTAATTGGATGATTATGCGCTACTCCTGACCTCTTTGTATGAGGTGCACGTCAACGTAGGCGAAAGTGATCGTAGCAAGTAGAGGTTGGCACGTGATGACATTTTCTCAGTAAACTCTTATTTTAGATCTTTATTGGAACTTGAAGAGTGTTCATTCCCATGGAAGAAGGTATGGCGTTGTAAACTACCTCCTCGGGTGACATTTTTACTATGGACGGTTGTGAGAGGACAAGTGTTAACGGTGAATAACCTCCGAAATAGGGGCTTTTATGTTACAAAATTGTGCTATATGTGTCAGAAGAATGGACAGACGATTGACAACTAGTTCCTTCATTGTGACGGTGCTCGTACCCTATGGAATGATTTCTCAACACACGGATTGGATGTTTCCACAACGTATGGAGGATGTTTTGAAGGCATGGGGGGTAAGATTTCGTAATAAAAATTGCAAGATTGTTTGGGACCTTGTCCCAGGATGCATCGTCTGATGTATGTGGAGAGAGAGAAATAGTCGCTATTTCAACGATAATACACGAACAACATAACAAATTAAAGAATTGTTTTATTTGACACTGTATACTTGGTTTAATGCCGTGACTATTATTTACGTAGACGGGTTGCCCAATTTCATATCGTTTCTGTCTTGTATTAATTGATAATACACTTCCTATGTATTATCCATGATTAATAAAATATTTGATTACCTATCCAAAAAAAAATATACATATATATATCAAAGGCCTATGCCCCTGCTTCTGTTTCACAAAGATACAATATAGACTATGACAACATGATTATAGAGCCCAATGGAAACAATAAAGATACATAGGCATCAGTTATAATTTCACCCTTCAGGTCACATAAATTCTGAATCATCATTTTGTTCCATAAATATTTGGGATCTTTTCTTGATTGCACTTCTACTAGTTGTCAAGAGTTCTATACAGCTCACAGGTGGTTCAAGTACCCCAAAAAATGCAACAATTGTAAGCCATGGATGACATATAACTACACCTAGACTTCTTTTTTCTTTTCTATACAGGTCAATGAACTGATTCTGGGACTATGTTTTCCCCCATTCAGGGTGGTCTTTATGCATCGGCAAGAAAACTTGTTTGCTTCCCACTAGGCAAGTACTGCAAAATTATATCTTTGCAGTCCATCAGTTACCAATGTGAAAATTTCTATTTCCAAGGAGCTTTAGTATGAAATTCCATAAATAAAAAGAAATTAATAAATCGATGCTATTAAAACATATTCCAGAACAAGAAATAAACATATAAAACTGCAAGAAATTTCCTTCAATGAGAAAGAAGTGGAAAAAAAATATCTGGAACAAGATGCACACACCGGTTTTCTTCCAAGGGGATTGAAGGGTCTGGTCTAACAGCTTCCATATCCAGCTTTAATGCTTTTGAGGAGAACTTCCTCGGATATTTTTTTGAATGATCAAGACCAAGCACCTTGCAGTCAAACCAAATTATGAAATCAGACAATAGTTTCTGGCAAAATATAGAAGTGCACTGAAGTTCAGACACTTGAGCATTACCTGCTTCCATGGCGCATTACGGCTGTTGTCATTAAGGCAGAAGTCTTGAATAGAGAGAGCAAGTCTAGATGCACATATTCCACCATCGGTAAAAACATCATATTGGAAACCTATTTCGAACAACTCAAGCTCTAAAGATATAGTTGTATCCCTCCCATTGTTATTTGCATACTGCTGAACAGTTCTTTCAGAGTTGGACCAGTCAGAACCGGCATACATTCTCCAAATGATGTTCATGTTCTTAAGAAGTACGCAACCTACGACTTTCCTACAGTCATCATATTCAGTATCACTGCTAGAAGACTCGCCTTCTACAAGTTGCGGGACATTAGTCTGCTCATTGACTTTTGAAACATGGTTTTCCAAAATTCTTAATGAGGATTCCCCATACCATCGACCATTTCCGATTTGTGCTTCTTCTTTGGCACCAGTCTTGCATTTAAGAATATCATTTGGTGGCTGGCTTTTCAAAGTCAGTTCTGAGAAGGGACGCAAATCTGACAAGATATATTCCTCTATCAACTCAGGAAAGTTTTCCTGTAATGGTGCACCACCAGCTTCCAGTCCAACTACAGGCACAGATCCAGCAAGAGGCAAATTATATGAAGAGCCATTGACTGTTAAATTACATTGTTCATCAAGGGAACTACCAGCACCTACTGCACAGAGACGTGATTCAAAAAATTTAGCTTGGCCATCGGAGTTTCCATCTAGATGGAATACGTCTTCACAAATTTCATCCATCAAGTTGACTGGGCCTCGTTTATTCTGTCTATCTACACTTGGACCACACATCTCAGAAACTGGTGGAGAAAAATTGGTACTCAAGGTGCAACCATCATTGTTGTCATGCACCTGCTGGACATTATTCCACCTTGTCTGCAAGTGAACAATTGATTCTTGCATATCAGGTGCAAACAGTTTCTGGAGTTGATCAGCCAATCTAATTAAACCAGAAGCAGTATCATGGCATGTATTCAAATCGATGTGAGAATCTGTGCATTCCACTTCCCACATGTGGCCATTCTGACAGTTTGTCCGTACAAGTGCTTCAACGTGTGCCTCTTGTGCAACTTTAACATAGCCAATCTTGCTAAGATGTTCTACACTGTAAGTATTACCAATAACTTTCGACTCAGATAATGAACAAAGAAGTAGACCTAGATCTTGCAGTATAATTTTATAGTCCGCAGCAGTACAATCAACAGTTGTTCTATTAGAAAGTATAAAGGAAGATGCAGCCAACAGACAGGCAACATACTGCTCAGGTATAACTTCATTGATTTTCTGTGGAGAAGATACGGGATCGAGGTCATCTTCAGCCTCTAATTTTTTCAGGTATGGCTCATAACTCAAACAGATATCGATCAAGTTAAGAAGAAAAGAAGATCCATGGGTCTGGCTCGGACTGTTATCACCAGCTTGTTCCAATTCAGAAGATGGCAAACTGAAGAAGGAGATTATTGTATTCAACCAATCCAGGCGACCACCTATTGCCACAATAGTGGCACATCTTACAGTAATGGAAGTATAATTCTTGTTGCTCTCGGGATCCCAGAAGAGTACAAAGTCGGTACCTGAATGCATAGAAGACAATACATTTGAACCTTCTCCATCACCACGCCCCATGGAAGAGTCACTGCATGAGATCAGAAGAAACTCTTTGGGTAGACCTTCCGTAATAGAACCCCACATATTTCCCTGACCATGGGACACACGTAGGAAGCTGGCACTCCTTATTCCACCAATATTTTCTACAGACAGCAACTCAAACCTGTGAACTTGGAGAACAAAACTATGCCAAGAACCGGGAAGTTCATACTGGATGGAAGGCTTGACATTCCCTACTGCTTCTGCAGTAACTGAAATTGTTACAGAGTCACATTCCACTAAAATGGATGTTTGAAACAGAGGGATTTCTTTGTTAATGCCACCTGGATCAGAAACCATGCATGAGAAACAATCGATCACCTGATGTGTGAGATCATGTAAGTTCTCGTAATGAGATTTGGCAAGATTGATTGTAACAGGAGAGAGATGTGCATGCAAAAAAAATCTAGAGCTTGAAATAATCTCTGGTTTAGTAGAAGTATCAAAGTCCGCCATATTCTTAACAGTGGTCACAGAAGCAAACTCACGGTCCCTTCCCATAAAGTTATCTTCTCTCTCTGTATTCTCAGCAAAAAGCTTCGCTTTCTTTGCCATACCAGGAACACTCCTGATACCCTCCTGCCAAAACATACTAATGACTGACTGACAGCCAGTTCCTTGAGTGATAGACATAATATTATCAACAGAAAAGCTGGGCTCAAGCCCACTGCAGAATCCACATTCAACATTCTTCTTCAAGGCTGAGGTAATGAAGTAGACATGAAGGTCAGGAAAATTTAAATGTAGGGAGCATGATGCTGCCACAACATATCTTTTCTTGGGAATAGTGGGGGCAGGCATTGGCTTAGCAGCTCGAACTTCTTTACCTCCAAGAGTTGGCGAATAGAAGTCAATAGCAATAAACTGGTCACAAAAAATGTAGCTATTAGAATATTCACCCCCCTTGAAAGGGAAACATAGTATTATCCTTGCATCTTGGAGGAATACATTACCCCTCAGACTTTCTTTTCTAGACTCCCCCAAAAATTTGTTTGTTTGCAACTTGGATGGATAAGAATTCCCTACGCTTGTTGTTTCAATACAATTTTCCATTTCTTTCATAAAATTTAACAGCGTACTAAGTAAACCAAAATTCACCCAGATAATAAATCGGGGCAGCTTCAAGGAAAAAGACGTAGGCCCCATAAGTGAGCTGTCAGACGATAGTGAGTTCATTGTGATTTGGCCCTGACCGACACCTGAGGTTTTAAGAAAAGTTACACTGATAACTTCTTTTCTGTTTGCCACATGACAACAACCATCCAAGTTCTGGATATTTGGCAGGAAATCAGCACCATAATTATAAGGATGATCGAAAGCATCTTCGCTTGATGCACAAAAATTTTGAAGAGCGCTTTGAACACCATTTTGCATTTGTTGGATCAAAATCATCTGACTTTCCAAATTGAAATCGAGACCATGAAACTTAGGATCCATCAAGTCATTCTTAGCCCGAAAGTGATCAACGAGTTCGATATGATACACTGTCGCTTCAAAATTCGTTTCTCGAGGAGATGCCTGCTCATCTTGCCAACATATTGACGTTAATGTGGTGGAATACAATGTAAATGTAGAAAACTTAATGTGGATTGAGAGGAGAAGAAGGAAAGAGAACAATCAGCTCCAACTATAATTTACCTGGAATATAAAGTATAGATCTGTGAACTTTGCACATAAATAATGAAACTGATAATCATCATTAGCCTGAGCATCCTTCGCATTCCAGGAATCCTTCTGGTCTTCATCAGTGAAGGAAAAAAGGAGAGAGATTTTATCAATCGCGGCCTTAAAGTTGGTTTCAACATGCTGCTGTTCTGCACCAATGGTTAGGAAGAAAAACATATTAGTTTCTCAGACAATGAAAGCTTTCATGCAGCTTTAGGACTATAAGACCAATATATTAAACAGTGCGCTCTATAAGCACATGGATTTGCCACAAACTTCCAAGTCAATACACATTCTCTAAAAACATACTCTAGACAATAGAGCGCTATCAGATTAATTTCCAATCAAAATACAAAGAGAGGAAAGTGGAAACAACAAGAACAAATTAAGAGCATGTTCAGTGTCTTATTTGGGCATATGAGCTTACCAATAAGAAGTATGCATCTATATGCTCTATTCTTATTCCCAAAAAAAATTTGGGGTCGCCTAAAATAAAAAAATGGAAAATGTCTTTGAGTAATAAATTTAAAGAGTTCAGGCCTCAAGTGTGGAAACTTCCATCTCTACAATGCAATGGCATCTGAGGGTGTTATATCCCTTGTTTAGAACAAGGAACACGAGTATAACCAAGTTGTTCAGTATTTATAACCAGACACTAACCAACCTGATTTTATGGATTTTCCATAATGTAATCCTGATTCATTAGAGAAAGAAAAAAGCATAAAATTCACCAAGACTAATTCATTAATTAACTAACGAGGTTTGTGGTCCAAACTTCCTTGGATCCATTATTTCATTGATAGGCTTGATAATTGAATCAATTGGACATTTTGATTGAAACCATGTGATTCTAAAAGATCATGCTTAACCTAGGAACGTCTTAATCGTACCACTTCTAACCAGTTATCTTTAATAACTCCACCTTTGATCTACCAAATGAACATTTCCCTGATTGCCAAGGAAAAATCGTAGCATCAACACTCGAAGAATCAAAACTAAGTGCAGCTGCAGATGCAGCTTCTCATATGAAAAAAGGAAAAGAACGAGACAAATTACATATATTCAGAGAAGCACATACCTGAGGGAACATGTAAAGATCCAGAGGCAAGGTTTGATGCAGCAGTTATTGCACTGAACATAGAACCTGTCCAGTTCCACACAGCACTGTTCCCTAAAGCAGACTGTGAATTTCTCAGTTCATCAACACATTCAAAGAACTGGTCCATGCTGCAAATAAATCAGTTATAAATGCAGGCAATATTTTAGTATCACCGGAAACCAAATGAGATTAAAGAAGAAAAATTAAAGATAATGTATGGAAGGTTTTGCTTCCAATGGACAACTATAGATTATGGTTTCTTTTAACATCAACAGCAGAAGTGGTTTACTGAAAAAATAAAAAAATAAAAAAAAATTTGAGAGAGAGGGAGAGTCTCTAAAATTATGAAGAGTCAATGCATGATTCAATGACTAATTGAATACCTTGAACCAGCAGGTCTGAAAATAATTAAGATAAGTGAAATTTTGAGAAATTATTTGGATGCATCACTAGTTTTCCTTCCTTTTTTTTCAAATATGACTCCTAGCTCAAGACAAAGTTTCTTTGCAAAGTGCTTTTATTCAATTCACTTTTTCTCTCTATGTCCTTTTCATTTCTTTAATCTTCTCTAAGCAGGGTGAGGATTAGATGTCAATAGATACATGTAACATGCAGAAGGTGCAAGTGCACTTAGAACATATTTTGGTGCAACTTAAATAGGTGATTAAAATTCAAGTCAAAGTCAACAATTAATTTTAACCACACATGTTATGAGATCCTAAACTTTTCAACGATATATTTCATCAACTTTCATCAAAAACTACTAAAAATCTGAATTTTCAACTACACCAAACAGGGGTTAAATTATTTAATAAATACAACCCATTAAAATGCAAATAGGGTACTAACCTTGCCTCAAAGTCTGTTTCTTCTTCAGTTTTGTCCTTCTGTTTTTTACTCACCCAATCTGATATAAGAGGTGACTCTGATAGCAGAGCATTTGTTGCAAATTCTTTCTCTGCACAAGGACTACATCCAGTATCAAAGCCTTCATTGCCTAATGGCTCCTTGCAAAAAGCAAGTAGACAAGAGTCCAGATTTGATGAATGGCTATTCGATGCTCCACTGTGACCTTCACTCTTTGCACCCATACCTTTAAACAAATTCCAAATACAAATGAAATATCTGAGGGTGGTAGGCTGAATTCTTAATACTAGTGGATCAATATGAACATCTGCATCCACTTTGTGGACATCCAAAGAACCATTTTTCCAAGGTATGCTTAATTTAAGATTCCCAGAAAAACCTCCTTTTTCCCCAGTAATAATTGTAGTCATGGAACCAAACGAATGGTTTCCTGAAAACCAGTCACCATAAGGTGTCACAGGAGAACATTGAGGAGGTGTCTGATCAACATCATCCATGTGTAGTAATTCAATCGCTGCTCCCTCGAATTTTACAAAGTTTATCAATTGATTTAAACCAAGAAAGTCACGTTGTGCATTTCCACTGTTAGAAGAAGCATCTTCAGAAATTTGTGTTCTGCACTCTACCTCAGAAATTCGAAGTACTGCAGTTCTGCATAATCCTTCTTTCATTTCTTCCCACATAGAGGGATCAAAAGCTACAATCAGATTTTTAACTTTCACATGAAAACTAGTCAACAACCATTTTACCATCTTGGCAATGGTTTTGACTCCTTCATGAACATCAACAGAAGCATTTTCCAATCCTCCATTAACTGCATCATTCTCAAGCTTTCTACAATGATGGCTGGAATAATTCTTCTTACTTTGACAGGAACTGCTAGTTTCTGATTCATCTTGAAAAATATTTGTCTGACGAGGAGTGAGCACGATCTCAAGGTCATCCACCTCAATTTCACAGCCACCATCCTTCCAAGGCATAGTTACCACTAATGAGCCAATAGATCCCTCTTTCACAGAAACAGTTGCTACATTGAACTGAAAAATAAAAGAGATGTAATGGCATTGAAATTGTTTGCATAAGCCTCAGGATAGGATGGGGGGAGGGGGGATGGTGTGTGCCTGTTCCATAAGAAATGCTAAACTGATTCATAATTTTGAATATTCTGAATTGCCAATATCATTCACCTCTTACTATTATTTCTTCTATTAATTATCAACTCTCAAAAGCTCCCAGTTTGTCAAATAACTGTCACGTTTTTCAAATTTTAGCCATCCAAGAACATAAAAATTCTCTCTAGGAGTGTGCAAATCCAACCACCCACCCGGAGAATTATAAAACAGAGGAAGAGATAAGAAAAGAAAGAATTTCAAACTCAATCAAAATTAACATTACATCAACTACTTTAGCATATGAATTAGATGCAGAATCACCATGCAGTCATGCTAATCTCCATTCAAATTAATTAACGAGTAATTTAAGTAACAGTCAATGAAACTTAGTTTAATAAAGTACATGCTATTCGAAGTAGAAAACTAACACCACGCAGCATTCACCACAAACATGTTACGTTATGGACAAATTACCCACAAGTTCACATCAAATTAACGACAATTAAAAAAAAAATCACACCTTCTGGTTTATATAGTCGACGTTGACTGCGAGATCGGAGAGCTGAATGGTGCCGGCGCTGAGCTGGACATCTAGCTGATTTAGATCAATATCTCCCAGTATAAATTTTCCTAATTTTTTCTTCAACAAGAATTTACACAACCTCTTTATCGCCAACCGGGAGAACATCGCCTCCGCCGACTTTGCAATACTCCACGTAAACATCTTTCCTGAATCTCTAAACAATTCTCTTCAATTCCAAGCAAGTTTCAATTTTTTGGTTTTTTTTTTTTTTCAAAAATTAGGGGGTTTTGAAGTATAATATGTATATTGATAGTTATATATACGGAATTTGCTTTTTCGATGGAGGCTCTCACCTCCATCCAAGCAGGAGAAGATAGAGAGAGAAAGAGAGATTCTGGTTTCGGAGAAAAAGATTGGAAAAGTTTAGGGCGAGCCGTGCTTGGGTGGTATAATTTCGTCGGGTACGTGAAATGCTCATTTAATTATAAAATATTTCAGGCAATTTAATTGCAATAAAACTCAATCACGTTTAAGTTAAAATTACCTTGCTTAGTGGGGAATAAAATAATTTTTTAATAAATTTTGATAAAAGTTAATAAATTTATTATTAAAAAATTATGAATCCCAAAAAATATGTTTAAAATTAATTGTTGACATTGATTGAAATTAAAATTTCACCAAACAAGAACTAAGCCCCTGTTTTACCTCCATTTTGTGGTAATGAAAATGGGTGGAATAGTGTTTTTTTTAAATGAATAGTTGATAAAAAAAAAGTTTGATTTACGTGTAATTTTATTTTATAAAAGATTGTGTAGTGTAAAATAGAAAAGAGAAAAATGAAATGTAATGTAATGAATATTAATGGGGACCAAATGAGGGCTAAATATAAATTGAAGACGAGTTTGGGTGGTTTATTTCATAAGCAATGAGGCTAGTATAGGATTTAAGTAAATTTGTATAATAGCATCTTCAAAATACTATTTAAATACAAAATATTCTTTATTTTAAAGAATTATTGGTAAAAAATATGTTTAAAGAGACTCTTTATTTTAACATTTTAAAATTGAAAATTACTCTTTATTCTTAATGTACAATGAACTTATTTAATAAATTGAAAATTTTAATAATATACTTCTTAAACTATACAAATTATATATTAGCTCCTATTTGGTAGGAATTAAAATCAAGATTTTAGTATATTTTTATAAAATTTGATGAAATGTGAATTAAAAAGTCGTTCCCGTGAAATATATTGTTAAAAATAATTATTGATTTTAACTTAGATCAAAATCTAAATTTTAATTTCTACCTAACAGACTTAAATTGATTGAACATTGATATATAAAAAAATTATGATAAAATTAAAATAACAGAAGAAATAAAAAAAATGTTTATTAAGCAAGGTAAAATAAGGAGACAAAATAGAAAATATTGTTGAAGTGCATAAAAATTTTGACTCACTAAATTTGAAGATGCTCTTTATAATGCATTAGATGTTTTTTATTAAAAAAAATCTATTGAAAATGCTCTAATTATATATTACATTTTGTGTGTTTTATGAGAATTTATAATAAGATTATTATGTGTTTGATTTAAAAGATGAGCCTTGTTTGGGCAATATAATTTCAATCATTCATGGTTTATTAAACTAAAAATTCAAGCAGAGGTCCTGAATTGAAAAATCATTTTTCATACGAAAAAAAAAAGGACTTTTTCAACAGTAAATTATTCATTAAAATCTAAAAATTTCAAAAGAAATTAGTGATTTTTGAAGATTAAATTATAAGACTTTTGCGTTGGTTTCAAAAAATAATTATGCCTGAAAGCACGAGTCGTGAGTTAAAAAATCGTACTTTTTCTATTAAATTTTGAATAGTATATAATTTATCAAAATCTGGAAATTTTAAAAATTACTTATTTGAATGTTAAATTATATGACTTTTGCGTTGTTTTACGATCGGGACAATATTTTGTCAATTTTTATTTTATTTTATTTTTTTTTTTCATATTTAGAAGCCTGTTTGGGAGTGATTTTGAGAATTGATTTTTTGATTGTTGGGAGAAAAGTGGGGTCCACCTGTGAGAGAAGAAGCCAAATATGACGACTGAAATAGTGGAATAACAGTCAAAAAATCAATTTTTTGGGACAAAAAAGCGAAAAGCGCTCCCAAACAAGCTGCAGGAGTTTATGTGTAAATTTTGTTGGTGCTCTGGTTTTAGGAAATTATTTAGAGATTAATATAATAATATATAATAGTGCAATAATTGGTGGTTAAAGCAACTTGCTTTAAAAAAAGTGCAGCTCGAGAGGGTACACAAAAGTCAAAACTTTGTCATATTGTGTCGTAAAATGTATAGTTCGGGCCAATTCCGACACAGTCGCGAAAAATGACGAAATTACACCCGGCGCGATTTTTGTTCCCGATCAACCCGTCAAATTTGAGCCATTCCGACACAGTCGAGAAAAATGATGAAATTGCCACCGGCGATTTTTTTTCAGATAAAACTGCCAAATTTCAGCCAATTCCGACACAGACGAAAAAAATGACGAAATTGCCGCCGGCGGGATTTTTATTTCCGATCAAACTTCCAAATTTCAGCCAATTCCGACACAGTCTCGAAAAGTGACGAATTGCCCCCGGCGTCGTTTTTGTTTTCGATCAACCAGTCAAATTTTAGCCAATTCCGACACAGTCGCGAAAAATGACGAAATTACACCCGGCGCGGTTTTTGTTCCCGATCAACCCGTCAAATTTGAGCCCATTCCGACACAGTCGAGAAAAATGACGAAATTACCCCCAACGCGATTTTTATTTCAGATCAAACTGCCAAATTTAAGCCAATTCCGACATAGCCGAGAGAAATGACGAAATCGCCCCCGGCGATTTTTATTTCAGATCAAACTGCCAAATTTCAGCCAATTCCGACACAGCCGAGAAAAATGACGAAATTGCCCCCGACGATTTTTATTTCAGATCAAACTGCCAAATTTCAGCCAATTCCGACACAGTCGCAAAAAATGACGAAATTACACCCGGCGCGGTTTTTGTCCCCGATAAACCTGTCAAATTTCAGCCAATTTCGACACAGTCGCGAAAAATGACGAAATTACACCCGGCGCGGTTTTTGTCCCCGATAAACCTGTCAAATTTCAGCCAATTTCGACACAGTCGCGAAAAATGACGAAATTACACCCGGCGCGGTTTTTGTCCCCGATAAACCTGTCAAATTTCAGCCAATTTCGACACAGTCGCGAAAAATGACGAAATTACACCCGGCGCGGTTTTTGTCCCCGATAAACCTGTCAAATTTCAGCCAATTTCGACACAGTCGCGAAAAATGACGAAATTACACCCGGCGCGGTTTTTGTCCCCGATAAACCTGTCAAATTTCAGCCAATTTCGACACAGTCGCGAAAAATGACGAAATTACACCCGGCGCGGTTTTTGTCCCCGATAAACCTGTCAAATTTCAGCCAATTTCGACACAGTCGCGAAAAATGACGAAATTGCCCCCGGCGCGGTTTTTGTTTCCGATCAACCAATCAAATTTTAGCCAATTCCGACACAGTCGCAAAAAATGACGAAATTACACCCGGCGCGGTTTTTGTTCCCATTCAACTATCAAATTTGAGCCCATTCCGACACAGTCGAGAAAAATAACGAAATTGCCACCGGGGATTTTTATTTCAGATCAAACCGCCAAATTCCAGCCAATTCCGACACAGCCGAGAAAAATGACTAAATTGCCCCCAGCGTGATTTTTGTTCCCGATCAACCTGTCAAATTTGAGCCCATTCCGACACAGTCCCTGATAAACTTATCAAATTTGAGCCCATTCCAAGACAGTCGAGAAAAATAACGAAAGTGCCCCCGGCGCGGTTTTTGTTCCCGATCAACCTGTCGAATTTGAGCCCATTCCGACACAGTCCCTGATAAACTTATCAAATTTGAGCCCATTCCAAGACAGTCGAGAAAAATAACGAAAGTGCCCCCGGCGCGGTTTTTGTTCCCGATCAACCTGTCGAATTTGAGCCCATTCCGACACAGTCCCTGATAAACTTATCAAATTTGAGCCCATTCCAAGACAGTCGAGAAAAATAACGAAAGTGCCCCCGGCGCGGTTTTTGTTCCCGATCAACCTGTCGAATTTGAGCCCATTCCGACACAGTCCCTGATAAACTTATCAAATTTGAGCCCATTCCAAGACAGTCGAGAAAAATAACGAAAGTGCCCCCGGCGCGGTTTTTGTTCCCGATCAACCTGTCGAATTTGAGCCCATTCCGACACAGTCCCTGATAAACTTATCAAATTTGAGCCCATTCCAAGACAGTCGAGAAAAATGACGAAATTGCCGCCGGCGGGATTTTTATTTCCGATCAAACTTCCAAATTTCGGCCAACTCCGACAAAGTCGAGAAAAATGACGAAATTGCCCCCGCGCGCGGTTTTTGTTTCCGATCAACCCGTCAAATTTTAGGCAATTCCGACACAGTCGTGAAAAATGACGAAATTACACCCGGCGCGATTTTTTTTCCCGATCAACCTGTCAAATTTGAGCCCATTCCGACACAGTCGAGAAAAATGACGAAATTGCCACCGGCGATTTTTTTTCAGATAAAACTGCCAAATTTCAGCCAATTCCGACACAGCCTAGAAAAATGACGAAATTGCCGCCGGCGGGATTTTTATTTCCGATCAAACTTCCAAATTTAAGCCAATTCCGACACAGTCTAGAAAAATGACGAATTGCCCCCGGCGCCGTTTTTGTTTTCGATCAACCAGTCAAATTTTAGCCAATTCCGACACAGTCGCGAAAAATGACGAAATTACACCCGGCGCGATTTTTGTTCCCGATCAACCCGTCAAATTTGAGCCCTTTCCGACAAAGTCGAGAAAGATGACGAAATTGCCGTCGGCGCGATTTTTATTTCCGATCAAACTGTCAAATTTCAGCAAATTCTGACACAGTCGAGAAAAATGACGAAATTGCCCTCGGCGCGATTTTTGTTTCCGATCAAACTGTCAAATTTGAGCCCATTCCGACACAGTCGAGAAAAATTACGAAATTGCCCCCGGGGCGATTTTTATTTCAGATCAAACTGCCAAATTTCAGCCAATTCCGACACAGTCGAGAAAAATGACGAAATTGCCCCAGGCGCGGTTTTTGTTTCCTATCGACAAGTCAAATTTTAGCCAATTCCGACACAGTCGCGAAAAATGACGAAATTACCCCCGGCGCAATTTTTGTTCCCGATCAACCTGTCAAATTTGAGCCCATTCCAACACAGTCGAGAAAAATGACGAAATTGCTGCCGGCGGGATTTTTATTTTCGATCAAACTTCCAAATTTCAGCCAATTCCGACACAGTCGAGAAAAATGACGAAATTTCCCCCTTGCGCGGTTTTTGTTTCCTACCGACAAGTCAAATTTTAGCCAATTCCGACACAGTCGCGAAAAATGACGAAATTACACCCGGTGCTATTTTTGTTCCCTATCCATCTGTCAAATTTGAGCCCATTCCGACACAGTCGAGAAAAATGACGAAATTGCTGCCAGCGGGATTTTTATTTCAGATCAAACTTCCAAATTTCAGCCAATTCCGACACAGTCGAGAAAAGTGACGAAATTGCCCCCGACGCGATTTTTGTTTCCTATCGACAAGTCAAATTTTAGCCATTTCCGACACAGTCGCGAAAAATGACGAAATTACACCCGGCGCGATTTTTGTTCCCGATCAACCTGTCAAATTTGAGCCCATTCCGATACAGTCGAGAAAAATGACGAAATTGCCCCGACGCGATTTTTATTTCCGATCAAATTGTCAAATTTCAGCCAATTCCGACACAGTCGAGAAGAATGACGAAATTGTCCACGGCGCGATTTTTGTTTCCGATCAACCAGTCAAATTTTAGCCAATTCCGACACAGTCGCGAAAAAT